GAGTCCTAGCCACAACAGTCAGACAAAAAAAAGAAATAAAAGGAATCCAAATTGGAAAGAAGCAGTAAAACTATTGCTGTTTACAGATGACATGATACTATACATAGAAAACCCTAAAGATGCCACTAGAAAACTACTAGAGCTCGTCAATGAATTTGGTAAAGTTCCAGGACATAAAATTAATAAACAGAAATCAGTTGCATTTCTGTACACTAACAATGAGCTATTGGACAGAGAAATTAAGGAAACAATCCCATTTACAATCACATCAAAAAGAATAAAATACCTAGGAATAAGCCTACTGAAGGTGGTAAAAAACCTGTACTTGGAAAACTATAAGACAGTGATGAAAGAAATTGAAGACGACACAAACAGATGGAAAGATATACCATGTTCATGGATTGGAAGAATTAATATTGTTAAAATGACCATGCTACCCAAGGCAATCTATAGATTCAAAGCATTCCCTATCAAAATATCAAGGGCATTTTTCACAGAACTATAACAAATAGTTTTAAAATTTGTATGGAAACACCAAAGACCCTGATAGCCAAAACGATCTTGAGAAAGAACAGAGCTGGAGGAATCACACTCCCTGACTTCAGACTGGACTACAAAACTACAGTAATCAAAACAGTATGATACTGGCACAAGAACAGACACATAGATCAGTGGAACAGGACAGAGAGCCCAGAAATAAACCACACATTTATGGTTAATTAATCTACAACAAAGAAGGCAAGGATATACAATGCAGAAAAGACAGTCTCTTCAATGGTGTTGTTGGGAAAACTGGACAGCTACATGTAAAAAATGAAATTAGAACACTTCTAACATCATATACAAAAATAACTCAAAATAGATTAAAGACCTAAATGTAACACCAGAAGCCATAAGATTCCTAAAAGAAAACATAGGCGTAACACTCTGACATAAATTGTCACAATGTGGGACCTCCCTGGTGGTGCAGTCGTTAAGAATCCGCCTGCCAATGCAGGGGACACGGGTTCGAGCCCTGGCCCGGGAAGATCCCACATGCCGTGGAGCAGCTAAGCCCATGCACCACAACTACTGAGCCTGTGCTCTAGAGCCTGCGAGCCACAACTACTGAGCCCACGCACCACAACTACTGAGCCCACGTGCCACAACTACTGAAGCCTGTGTGCCTAGAGCCTGTGCTCCACAACAAGAGAAGCCACTGCAATAAGAAGCCCGCGCACCACAACGAAGAGCAGCCCCCGCTCGCCGCAACAAGAGAAAGCCCGCGCGCAGCAACTTAGACCCAACGCAGCCAAATAAATAAATAAATGATAAAGTTAAAATAAAAGATTGTCACAATGTTTTTGGAGGTCTGTCTCCTAAAGCAAAGGAAATAAAAGCAAAATAAACAGATGGGACCTAATTAAGCTTAAAAACTTTTGCGCAGCTAGGAAACCATCAACAAGCCCAAAAGATAACCTACTAAATGGGAGAAAATATTTGCAAGTAATACGACCTATAAGGGGTTAATATACAAAATATTTAAACAGCTCATACAACTCAACAGCAAAAAAACAAACAATCTAATTTAAAAATGGGTAGAAGACCTGAACAGACATTTTTCCAAAGAAGACATACAGATGGCCAACAGGGACATGAAAAGATGCTCAACATCATTAATCAACAGAGAAATGCAAATTAGTACCACAATGAGATATCACCTTACACCAGAATGACTATCATCAAAAAGAACACAAATAAATATTGGTGAAGGTGTGGAGAAAAGAGATCCCTTGTACACTGTTGGGGGGAATGTAAATTGGTGCAGCCACTGTGGAAAACAGTATGGAAGTTTCTCAAAAAACTAAAAATAGAACTCTCATATGACCCAGCAATTCCACTCCGGGGTATATATCAAAAAAAAAAAAAAATCCCCACTAATTCGAAAAGATACATGCACTCCAAGGTTCATAGCAGCATTATTTACAATTACCAAGATATGGAATCAACCTAAGTGTCCATCAACAGATGAATGGGTAAATAAGAGGAGATAGATATATATATATATATATATAAAGTGAACTACTACTCAGCCATAAAAAAAGAATGAAATTTTGTCATTTGCAACAACATGGATGGACTTGGAGGGCATTATGCTAAGTGAAATAAGGTAGATAGAGAAAGACAAATACTGTATGCTATCGCTTATTTGTAGAATCTAAAAAAATTTTTAAAACTAGTGAATATAACAAAAAAGCAACAGACTCACAGATATAGAGAACAAACTAGTGGTTACCAGTAGGGAGAGGGAAGCAGGCAGGGGCAAGATAGGGGTAGGGGATTAAGAGGTACAAACTACTATGTATAAAATATACAAGCTACAAGGATATATTGTACAACACAGCGACTATAGCCAAGATTTTATAATAACCATAAGTGCAGTATAACATTTAAATATTGTGAATCACTATGTTGTACACCTGAAACTTATATAATCTTGTACATCAACTGCACACCAATAAGAAAATTATTTTAAGGAAAGGACCAGATCAAGAAGGTCTTGTACACCAAGCCAAGGAGTTGAAACTCTAACTTGAGTGACAGTGGCAAGCCAGGGTGGTTTGAAACAAGGCAGTGACAGGTGAGATTAGAGCAGTATTTCTCAAAATATGACACCTGGAAGAACATCACCAGTAGTATATTTGGAAATGGGTTAGAAATGAAAATTCTCTCCCCCAGCCCAGACCTACTGAATCAGAAACTCTGGGGATGGGCCCAACAGTCTTTTGGGGGGTTTTTTTGTTTGATTGTTTTTGTTTGTTTGGCCGTGCCACTTGGCATGTGGGGTCTTAGTTCCCCAACCATGGATGGAACCCGCACCCCCTGTGCTGGAAGCGCGGAGTCTTAACCACTGGACCACCAGGGAAGTCCCATGGCAGTCTGTTTTAACACACCTTCCCTCCAGGGGATTCTGATAGATGCTAAAGTTTGAGAACCACTGGATTCAAGTTTAGAAAGACCACTCAGTCTGGGGCTGGGTGTCTGGGTAGGAAGCTACTGCAACACTCCAGGAAATATGATAGTGAGAATTCATTTTTTCATTTAACAAATACTTGTTGACCATCTACTATGTGCTAGACACTGTTCTAGACACTAAAGATTCAGCAGTGAGCAAAGCAAAGCCCATGCGGTAATGGAGCGCACGTTCTAGTGGAAATAATATCTATTGACATCGTTTATGCAGTTCCAGATGCTGTCCTAAATACATTTAGGTGTATATTTATTTCTTCATCCTCACAACAACCCCATCAGATAGGTACAGTTTTTGTCTTCATTTTACAATTAAGGAAACTTAGTTTAAGTAGTAGAACCCAGATTCAAATCCAAGGTCATGCCCTAGATGCCAATGTCCTAGGCACCATGCTGTACCGCTTCCACAGCATCATAGTGGCAGTGGTAGTGAAAGATATTTATTCAGAATATATTGTTTTAGTACCTACTGAGTGCTAAGCACTGTTCTAGGAATTTAGTTAACAAGATCTCTCTCTTGATGGAAACTACATTCTAGTGAAAGATAAATAATAAAATTAAGAAACAAGCAATATAGGGCTTCCCTGGTGGCGCAGTGGTTGAGAGTCCGCCTGCCGATGCAGGGGACAAGTGTTCTTGCCCCGGTCTGGGAAGATCCCACGTGCCGCGGAGCGGCTGGGCCCGTGAGCCATGGCCGCTGAGCCTGCGCGTCCAGAGCCTGTGCTCCGCAACGGGAGAGCCCACAGCAGTGAGAGGCCCACGTACCGCAAAAAAAAAAAAAAAAAAAAAAGAAACAAGCAACATAAAAAAGCATTATGCTAAGAAAAGGAAAAAAAAGAAGGACGCAATATAAATAGTATATTAGAAGGCAATAAGTCTTGTGGAAAAAAGAAACACGAGAACATAGTAAGACAGATAGAGAACGTGATGGGAAGAGAGAGCTACAGGGATTGGGATGGGCAAGTTGAGATATCAACAAAGACTTAAAAACAAGGAAGTTAGCCAAGGGAATAAATGAAGACAATTCCAGGCAGAGGAAGCAGCTACATCTAAATCCTTAATGTGGGAGCAGGGCGAGGAACAGCCAGGCCAGTGTGGCTGGAGCAGAGTGATCCCCGGCTACAGAGCAAGGGAGGAGGGATCGCATGCAAATCTTGTAGGGCTTTGTTGGTTTTTACTCTGTCAAACGGGAAGCCATTGCAGGATTGGGAGAGAGAAATGACATAATCTTGTTTAGGTTTTAACAAGATCGAACCTATTGTTTTGTTGAGAATCGACTGCAGGGGACAAGAGGAGCCTGTTGGGAACTATTGCAATAACCAGAGGGGGAAAGGTGATGGTGGATTGCGCTGGATGGGATCAGTAGAGCCAACAGGTTTTGCGGATGGATGGACATTTTGCTGATGGAGGGCCAGAGAAAGTGGACTCTAGGGACCACCCACCGAAAGGGGGAGAGCGTGGAAGGGGCAGGTTTGAGGGTGGGTGCTCGGAGGGTGGTTGTTTTGGACAACCAGATAGACGTTGAATACACGTTGGTTATACAAGTCTAGAATTTGGAGAGAGATCTGGTCTAAGGAAATAAATTTGTGAGTTGTAAGTAAATAGGCAGTCTTTTAAATGATGAATAATGTAGGTAATGTTGGGAAACGATAAAGCTATAGGTGTCATTTCTCATAGGTTTACTAATTGTCAGGCACTGTGCTCGACCCAGTGGATTGGCTCATTTAATTCCAACAAAATAAGAAGAGGTGGGACAGATAGGAGGTATCTACCATCAGGGACCAGAAGCACCAATGGTCTCTGTTCTCTGACTGGCTTTTTTAGGGAATTTCGTCTGTGATTATGCAGCGGCAAGCAGTCCTCTCTCCACCTCGAAGTGGGGTTGAGAAGTTGCAAGGCTCCACCCTGCGATCGACTTTCACTCTCCAAACTGGGCCCCGCCCACGCGCTTGCGCACAAAGGCCCGTTCGCAGGGGGCGGGGCCTGAGCGAGCACAAAGGGGTCTGAACGAGTTGAGCGCTCGTGCTGCGCTGGGCGTTGCCAGGCGAAGCGAGTGTCGCCGAGGCCGCTACAGTTGGCCTCTCGCTGGCCCGGCCCAGCCCAGCCCACGGATCCCGAGTGGAGAACACGAGCACCGCCGGACTCGCTGGCGAGCTCCCAGGCGGGGCGCCCCGGCCTCTCAAGGGTGGCCGAGCGAGGGTTACCCGGGCGAGCAGGACCCACGGGTGAGTGGGCGCGTCACTGCGGGGCCGGGCCCTGCCCGCCCCGCCCCTGTGCCTGCCAGGCCCCGCCCCGAAGCCCAGGCTCCGCCCCTTCTGCCCCGCTGCTCCTTCTGGGTACCTGAGATCTGTCCACCTCGCTCCTCTTCTTACTCGTTTCCTCTTTTTTTAGGAAGGGTCTTTAATTTCGAGTCTCCGTAGTTTCCGCGCCCCCTTTGTCTTTAGGGGTCTCGATTCTGGGGGCTCCTTTCTGAGTTCCTCCTGCAGGTCAGTCATTTGATCCCCAGGGTTTAGGATACTTTCTCCATCTCAGCCTTCTCTAGGCAGATTTTACCTTACAGACGTGATTGTTGATTTCTGGAAGAAGAAAAAAATAAGTTTGAGGGACCAGAGAAGCCCCATCGGTCAGCTCGCGGGGTCCCCGAAAGGAGGGACTTTCTGCTGTGCAGATGCACACTAGCACACCTGGACCGTGGACCACCAAGGCCTGTTATGGAAACCAATTCTGTTGTTCAGCTGAACCCCCAAAAACTTTGGGAAGGGAAGTGTAAGAATTGTAGAGATAATCTAGTGAGACCTCTTCTCAGTTCAGGAAGCAGAGGCCCGAGAGAGTGAACTGACTTGGTCCAGGTTACATGCTAGTTAAAGGGCCCCTCCGCCCGTATTCTTCTGTGTCTAGGAATAGAAAAAATAAAATGGGGAAAGAAATGGAAGATTAGCCTTTCTTATAGCTCTTGGGGTTTTAATACGACTATAAAAGTAAGAGCACTTTTCAGAGCTAGAAGAAGGTGATGGATGGCTTTTTGCATAGAAGGGAGTTTGAAATTACATCAAAGGCTTCTGTTAGATTAAAACCTCAGATTGTCACGGACTTAATATTGGTGGGATTTTTAAATACCCACATAAACCCTAATACTGTTTAATAAAATTTGATTTTTGCAAACTAGAGAGTCAGGCATTGCCATTTCCTGTTTTTCCAGACACAGCTTAGTATTACAGAGGTCAAATGTATTTTATATAAATTATTTTTTGCCACAGCTGTCATTAAAGAAACCGCTAACTTTCGCAGTGCTGAAGGCTACCAGCAGAATTAGTGCTGCCAGTGAATTTCTGGAAATCACGGAAATCTTTAAGGAATTTTAAGTTGATCTTTCCTATTTTTAGTTGCATTCTGCTTTTAATAAGTAGTAAGTGGTAAGAGAGACCAAAAGAATTTACACCATCACCATATAGTATAGCCACCAGGGTTCCTCTTATGGTGAAAATACACTCATGTCCCCTTTAGATATTTTGGGAAAGCAGAGTATTGAAATGCCTGATATGTTTATTTATTTATTTGGCCGCGTGGCATGCGGGATCTTAGTTCCCCTGTGCAGGGATTGAACCTGTGCCCCCTGACGTGGAAGCACAGAGCCCTAACCACTGGACTGCCAGGGAACTCCCAAATGCCTGATATGTTTCGGGGGATGCATATTTCTACTGAGAAAAATGGCGATTTCCCCAGTAGTTAAGCTGAATGCAGCATATTTTTCTGCTCTATTAAATGTTTGAAAATGATGAAAGGTTACATAGATAACATTTAGGAGAATACTTTTTTTTTTTTTTTTTTGCGGTTCGCGGGCCTCTCACTGTTGTGGCCTCTCCCGTTGCGGAGCACAGGCTCCGGACATGCAGGCTCAGCGGCCATGGCTCACAGGCCCAGCCGCTCCGCGGCATGTGGGATCTTCCCGGACCGGGGCACGAACCCGCGTCCCCTGCATCGGCAGGCGGACTCTCAACCACTGCGCCATCAGGGAAGCCCGGAAAATACTTTTTGAATGACTTTGAGTAAATAAAAGTATTTTATTATATATCAAAAAGCCAAGCCTCAAGCAGAAATGGCTTGGGTGAAACAAAAATTAAGATAGTATCACTGCTGGGCTTCCCTGGTGGCGCAGTGGTTGTGAGTCCGCTTGCCGATGCAGGGGACACGGGTTTGTGCCCCGGTCAGGGAGGATCCCACACGCCGCGGAGCGGCTGGGCCCGTGCGCCATGGCCGTTGAGCCTGCGCGTCCGGAGCCTGGGAGAGGCCACAACTGTGAGAGGCCCGCTTACCGCAAAACACAACGACAACAACAAAACATAATAAGCATTTGTAATTATAACTGAAAAAATTCAAAACTTTGAATTCATTTACAGGATGAAACCTACTTTATTAGGTCTGATTTTAATGTATTTCAGCCAATAGAAACATATTTAAATAGAAGAATGAATTCAAGGAATCATGGTGAAAATTCTGGGCACTTTATTTTAATAAATGACTGTAACATATATTAATATATAATAATTATATAATATTAAAATATACATATATTGTATATAATAGGTATTATATAATATTACATATAATAATAAATGTTAAATGAATGATATATTTTGGTAATAAAATAAGAAGTCACCAAAAAAACAAGTTCAAGATTATGTCTTTGAAAAACTGGCTATACAAGTTTGGTGACTAGACTGTTACGTGAACTAGAGCTGAAAATTTAATTTTAAGGACTACATTGTTTTAAAGTCAGGGATCTCAGTGTCAGGACAGCCACACAGCTGTCATTGACTGTGTTAATAGTCCATCTTCTCACATCAGGACACAGTGGCCTAAGTCAGTGGACTGCAGTGACTGGCATGTTTCGAAACAGTCAAGAAAAGGAAGAGGAAGAAACCATTGCTTCCCAGTAAGAAGAAAAGGAAGAGAGTGAGAAGACTGATCTTACATTCCCTTAACGGACAAAAAGGGAGATAAAGTTTTGAATATGATTAAATGAAATGGTGGTGGGATATTTTGACAATCTCCTGAGCAGTTAAAACCAGGAGTGTGATTTCAGAAATGTATAAACTATTGTCTGAAATAGCAGAATTAGTCTGCAGCATTTAGGACAGCACTCTGTAACTCTGAATGCAATTTTATGTATCTTTCAGGGTTGATTTTATTTTATTTCCAAAATAGAACATGAATCCTTCTCACTCTTGGAATTGAATGTTTAAAAATCTAATATATTTACTGGGATTCTTAACTCTCTAATTTTTTTTAAATGCTAGTTTTGTCCATTCTTAAAGGGATTTCCCAAACTGTCACTATTATGTTATCTATTAATGTTGTTTTCACATTTTCAGAAATAACTGGTAATAAGACCTCTGTAGCCATGGCTAGTTCTGACGTGAAACCAAAATCAGTAAGTCATGCCAAAAAGTGGTCAGAAGAGATAGAAAATCTGTACAGATTTCAACACGCAGGATATCGAGATGAAATTGAATATAAACAAGTGAAGCAAGTTGCTATGGTAAGATTTATGCCTCTACAAACCTGAACTCAATATGAGTTTGTTAGGTGGTGAAAAGCACTAAAAAAAAAAAACCAAACAAAAAACCCACCACCAGGGCTTCCCTGGTGGCGCAGTGGTTGAGAATCTGCCTGCCAATGCAGGGAACACAGGTTCGAGCCCTGGTCTGGGAAGATCCCACATGCCGCGGAGCAACTGGGCCCGTGAGCCACAATTACTGAGCCTGCGCGTCTGGAGCCTGTGCTCCACAACAAGAGAGGCCACGATAGTGAGAGGCCCGCGCACCGTGATGAAGAGTGGCCCCCGCTTGCCACAGCTAGAGAAAGCCCTCGCACAGAAACGAGGACCCAACACAGCCATAAATTAATTAATTAATAAAAACAAACAAACAAACAAAAAAAACCCACCACCAACAAAGAACCAGAGAATACTAAAAGGGAATTCTACTCCAGCCTCTCGTTTTACTGATGGGGAGCTGAGGCCCAGAAGAATGATTTTCAGGAAGACTGAGGCAAGAGCTGGTTCCTCAGCACAGAAACATTAAGAATTTTCTGGCTTTTACTGACAGCTGCGCTGTGACTCTTTCACGGTAGACCATCAAAGCAGAGTCATTTTCTCTCCCCAAGGTAATTCTATTATCAGATATTCAGTTTGCTGTGGAACTATTATTTCTTTCCTGTTTCTTTTTTATTTTTACCACAAATTATAAAGGGGTTCAATTCTTCTTTAGGTGACAAAATCTCCCGACTTTGGTTGTGTATTCCAGACTTTCTTTTTTTTTTAAGAAGATGTTGGGGGTAGGAGTTTATTAATTAATTAATTTTTTTTTTGCTGTGTTGCATCTTCGTTTCTGTGCGAGGGCTTTCTCTAGTTGTGGCAAGCGGGGGCCACTCTTCATCGCGGTGTCCAGACTTTCTTGAGAGACTAGAGACATGGTTTTGCTTTTCAAAGATTATACCAAAATCTAGATACGGCCCCAGTTTATAATGTGATTTTTTAAATTCATTTATTCTACTGAATACTAGGAGGCTGAGTTCGGAAGGATATTATAGAATATAACATAGTATTCATAAATGTATTTTAATTTTTAGAGCTGAGGTTGCAACAAAGTGTTTATTATTAACTTGTTTTTTATTTTTGTTTTATGTTTTTTTTATTATTAACTCACCACTGTTCAGAGACTAATTCTTAGATGGGTTTTTCAGATCCCCATATTCTTTTTCTTCCTTCATTCTACTCTTTGATCTCTACTTAACACGTCCTAAAAAAGTAGATAGGAAAAAAGATGGAGGCAATACAGAGCTAAAATGTAATAGACTCTTTCATTTAACGGATGTTAATTCAGTAGAGATTATGAGGGGTGTTAAGGAATGAAATTAAACATACTGATCAAATGAGGGTTTGATGGCTGACTATGACTTTCACATATCCATTTCTTCATATCTACTAGCATTTTACTCTTTGGTCCCCATTACCAAAAGGGAGTTTTCATTACTCTATCATCTGTGGCTTCTAAATAGTTGTAAAACACAAGCATCAGCATTTTAATACAGTTCAAAAATAAGCTTCATACACTTGCCTTAAGATTGGGATAGGCAATGCCCCTGAAAGGTGTGTAAGACCCAGGATCATATAGGCAAGGTGATCACACAGGCGCGGATGCACCTACACCACCAACCACCCCAGAAACTGTTGTGACTGAGATCAGATAAGAGATAAGAGACTGAGATAAGATCAGATTTAAGGGAACACAAACAACATCCTTAAAGGGGAAGTCCCAAAAAGCACCTGAGGGTTGTGTATGTGTGTGTGTGTGTGTAACAGCCCGATCCACTGTATGACTTGACAGTTGTAGAGAGGTTTTGCATTTCACTTCAGTGTATATTTATTGGGTACCCGCCATGTGCAAATTTCTGTGCCAGATGCTTTAAAAAGATAAATATAAAAGCAAGTGCCTGACCTCAAGAAATTTAGAGTACAGGATTTGGAATCAGTCTGCCCAGGCTTTGCATCCTGGCTCTCCTCCTTGGCTAGGGAACCCTGAACAAGGTTCATAACCCTTACTGAGCTCAAGTGTAAAATGGCGATGCCACTGCCTGCTTTAGAAAATTGTCTCAGGAATTAAATGAAACCATGTGTTGCAAGTGCCTCCCATTGTAGTGCTCAGTAGTAGTTTGTTGAGTGAATGAATGGTGTTCAGTGAATGATAGCTTTTATTATTCCTGTATCTTGGAGTGGAAGATTAAGAGTGACGAACAATAAAAACTTATGCAAGTGAAAATATATGCCCCCCAAAATTAAAGGAAGATAAAATTTTCTTCCTTCACGGACAATCTTCCAAAAGGGCTTCATGCCCCGAGAGGCATTTGCAGTGGGCCTTAAAGGATGGACAGGAGGATAACTGAAGGCTTGCCTTGATTGGCAGTGGTCTGAAGGGTTTGGGTGATGTTCTTGTCCTTACCTAAAGCACACGTCCTTATGGGCACTATTAGTGCTTACTGATCTCCTGCCCAAGGAGCACTGACTTGAGGACCATATCACCCGCCTCCACCATTCTCTAAGGAATGAAGGTTTCCTAGGTTGAATGGGAGTGATGGGTAGAAAGCCAAGAAGAAAAAATTATGAAAGAGCAAAGGGTTATAGAAAGAAAAAATCCTAGAGGTTGATGAGGCAGAACCAGCACATCTGTTTGGAAGCCCCCCCGATTTCCTAGGGTGAGGCAGCTGGAAGCAGGACCTCAGTCCTTGTCTTCTTTGAAGAAACAATTCAGCAAAGTGACAAAGATTGTGAAGCAGATAAAGTGTTCATTGGGAGTAAAGTACGTGTTGAAGAACACACAGGCAGACTCAGAGTTGCACGCAATAGGGGTGGCTGAGATCGCTTATATGGGGGCAGTCTTCTGGGTTACCTCTGGCCAATCGTCCTGTTCGTGCCCACATTTGGCCTGACTCAGGGTCCTTCCTGGTGGGTGCACACGTATCTCTCAGCCAAGATGGATTCCAGCGTGAAGGTTTCTGGGAGGTTGGCAGGACGTATTATGGGCTGGTGGCTCCTCTCTCCTTTGGCACCTCCCGAGACTGAGGACCTTCTCTGCGCACGTGTCCAGCTGGAAAATCCCCTTTGCCACAAGAATGAGAAGAATGTGGTCACGTTGTCTTCCACCCAGTCAGGGCTCTGCTCCTGCTGGCCTCTTATCTCGAGGTGTCAGCAGGAGGCTGGTTGCAGCTGCTCAGCCTGGGCCCATCTGTCTCCTTCCTCAATCCCACATAAAGTGCTGTGGGTATTCTGAAGAAGCAGCAGTGTACTGTTTCTTCACTGAATAAGCTGGTTGGGGGACCCTACTAAATGAGAGAGCCTCTTGGCCCCAAGAGGAAGACAGCGGTAACGGTATCTTGAGAACTTCCTTTCTCTGCTGAGGGTAATGGAAGCAACAAAGGGCAGGCTTGACCTAAGTGATGGAAAGCATTGCTTTTCTCTATGATGTACATGTCAGAGAGACTGCCAAGGTTTACCAGATAGGCTGCTACCCGTTTTTGCTAACTCCTAAATAAACGAGACGACAGAAGAAAGCGAAAATATGTTGCTAGAAAATAAAGGATGTGTGTTCTTTTGTATGCGTGGCATGTTCGTGTTCCAGTTTGGAAGCTGCGATTTATAAGTGGGGGATTGGAGAATGAGTAGCTGCCTGTAGAGATGATGTTGAAGGACAGGACTTGTTTTTTATGCCGGGAACACAAAATCGAAATACTAGGGTCTTGACAGTGGTGGAGTACATGTCACACAATCCAGAAGCAACATACCTAACCACAGCAAAAATGCACTGACCTGAGCAAGAAAGTATAACGCGAATTCAGAGAGGAAGGGGAGGGAAATGTCCAAAAAGATGGAGCCGAACGATCAAGTAAGCAAACCAATGTGGCGAACGAGAGAGACTAGTGGGGAGAAGGTGAGAAGAGACTGCTAAGGACTATGTTCATGACCTCAATTTCTACGAAAAATTGAGTTTTCAGGTGTGAACTTGAAACATGGACATGAGGAAATACACGTGTATTTCTCTAGATATAGAGATTTTCTAGATGTAGAGATTTAGATATCTCTAGTCTAACTGCTTCCTTTAGTCACCCCTGTGGCCTGGGCCTAGCCCTAATTTCCTCCTTGGGTATTATTTTTAGAAGTTAGTAAGTAATAATGCTTAAAATAGTTTGTAAACATAAGGATAAAGTTTAGATTATTTTGAATGTTTTATCTTGGCTGCAGAGTAGAAATTTAAATCTAGAAATTGGGATCTGAATTAGTTGCCCTGCAGTATAAGGCTGCCACTTAACGTATGGTGTGTGTGTGTGTGTGTGTGAGTGTGTGTGTAAGATATCACTAAGAGCTCAAGTAGTTTTAAATTTAATTTTGTACTTTAATTGTTTGATGTGACTTGTGTTTTTAACTGTTTGATAGTGAAATATTATATAAAAAGAACATCAACATTACAATATTTGTACTCTGGTTTTCAATATACAGGTAGATCGTTGGCCAGAGACAGGATATGTGAAGAAACTTCAGAGACGGGACAATACTTTCTATTACTACAACAGACAGAGGGAATGTGATGACAAGGAAGTCCACAAAGTGAAAATTTATGCTTACTAGCCTTACTTCTTTGTATTACCTGTCATTATCTTTTTAAAAATCCACTGTTTGATTCTACATATGTAAGTGTCATTTTACAAAAGACTCCAAAATGCAGACTTCAATGGAATGTTTTGAGACACAAAAGCCATGAAACTTGGTCTCTAATAATCATCCCATTCTGTTCTAAAATATAACTGCAGTAGCATTCCATTGGTGCCCGCCTTGGTCTGGTTCTTCCTGTTTTAACCGTGGTAGCATAACTACAGTAAGTCCCCTACATACAAACGAGTTCTGTTCTGAGAGCGCGTTCGTAAGTCCAGTTTGTTCGTAAGTCCAACAGAGCTAGCCTAGGTACCCGACTAACACAATCGGCGATATAGTACTGTACTGTAATAGGTTTAGAATACTTTTCACACAAATAATACATAAAAAACAAACACAAAAAATAAAGAAGACATTTTTACTCTTACAGTACAGTCCCTTGAAAAGGACAGTAGTACAGCACAACAGCTGGCATCCAGGGGCTGACATCGAGTGAGCCGGCAAGAAGAGTTACTGACTGGAGGAGGGAGAGGAGGTGGGCGACGGTAGAGCTGAAGGATCGTCAGCGATAGGAGATGGAGGGCGAGCGGCAATTCCGCTCACGCCTGACACTGATGGAACGCACGTTCGCATCTTGGAAAGTTCGCAACTTGAAGGTTCGTATGCAGGAGACTTACTGTACTACGCAGGGGAAGAAAGAGCCCCACTTGAAACTATTGCAGCGGTTGTGTAGAGGTTGTGTAGAGGTTAGTCCCCCCACGCCCATCACTTTGAACTGCTAGATCTGCATTCTGTGGCCTGAGGGGCTTTCTCTTGCCTCTGGAGTCCTTTGCCTCTCACTGAGTTGAGTGAAAATGCCAAGAAATGATGGTGCCTGGGGCGGAGAGGTATCAAAGGCCCAGCCACCTGCTTCCGCAGGGAGGAATCAACCTGAGGTTAATCTTTGCTCACGTGCAGCAGTAACTCATTGGATGACGTAGGCAACTGGTTCTCTTCCATCCTTGCTCCCTTCCCCCACTCCCCTGCCAGCGGCTCTTTCCCTCCTGAATCACCTCCTGGGACTTGGAGCCTGGTCCTGGGGTCAGCTTCTGGGTCCCCTCCCCGCCACCACCACCACAGAGGACGTGTTCCAGTGCTGCCTGGCATCACTGCAGAAACTGCCCACGTGCTAACGTGCAAAGAAGACAATTAAACCCCGGGAGACTTAAGAGGTTCCCCCAGATCAGTGAGTCTTGAGGCTTTGAAATTAACTAGCTGAAAGATATCATTTTCATTATAACTTTTTTGTCACTGATAAGACTTTTTGTTCCCATTGATAAGTTCTGACCTTTAAATAGCTTTTGGGTTACGAGCTCACATATATCAATTCATTCAACTTCAGGTCCTGTTTTCCAGAACTACCCGCCCCACGAAGCTCCGTTAGTTTTTCCCAGTTCAAAACTGTGCCTTTGGGACTTCCCTGGTGGCACAGTGGTTAAGAATCCACCTGCCAAGGCAGGGGACACGGGTTCAAGCCCTGGTCCAGGAAGATCCCACATGCCACGGAACAAGTAAGCCCGTGCGCCACAACTACTGAGCCTGTGCTCTAGAGCCTGTGAGCCACAACTATTGAGCCCGTGTGCCACAACTACTGAGCCTGCGTGCCTAGAGCCCGTGCTCTGCAACAAGAGAAGCCACCGCAATGAGAAGCCCACGCACGCAACGAAGAGCAGCCCCTGCTCGCCGCAACTAGAGAAAGCCCGCGCACAAAAACAGAGACCCAATACAGCCAAAAATAAATAAATAAATATTTTTAAAAAAGAAAGAAAAGGCAAGGCACTGACTGGGAGACTAAGTCTGCAAAACATACACAAAATAAAGGACTTATGTCCACAGTATATAATGAATTCTCAATATTAAGACAAGACAATTAAAATTAGGCAAAAAAAATAAAAATAATAAAATTAGGCAAAAGATGTGAACATTTAAAAAACAAAACAAAAGTGTGCCTTTTCAGAACAAACACATCGTGGAAAGGATAAATAGATTGGTAAGCCTCTTTTATGCCTTTCCCATGCTGCCCAGGGTCATCTTATTTAGCACTTGTTTCAAGTCATTTATCTGTACCTCTATAGTCAGGATTTCTGTCACTGTCTGTCTTCCAGGTTTGGCACACCACTAGGTGCTGGGCATAGGAGGTCTTCTGAACCTGATAATGCTTTTAAAAAAAAATTACTGTGGTAGAATAATTGTCTGCAAAGGCAACCACATCCTTATTCCTGGAACCTGTGGACGTGGTACCTTATATGGCTAAAGAAACACTGCAGATGTGATTAAGAACTTGATATGTGGACATTATCCTGGAAAACCTAGGTGGACCCCATGTAATCACCCGGGACCTTAAAGAGGGGAGAAGGCAAGTCAGAGTCAGCGAAGATGTGATGAAGGAAGCAGAGGCCTGAGACGTGCAAGGAAGGAGCATAGAATACATAAAGCCCCAAGAGTCTCCAAAAGGAACACGACCCTGCTAACCCCTTGGTTTTACCAGATAAGACCCGTTTCAGACTTCTGGCTTCCAGAACTGTAACAGGATAAACTCATGTTGTTTTACACCGTTTGTGGTGATCTGTTAGAGCAGCGGTAGGAAGTGGACACTGACATGGAATAGATGAAGCCATAACTATCCGTAGTCTTGAAGTAAGCAGGAGGGTCAGCCGTGGCCTGCCGCTTTTGACATTTTGCTACAGGTTCAGATTCAATCCAAGGAAGTTTGTCAGGCAGTTTTTATCTGGAAAGCTCTCAGTAATTAGCTCGAATGTTCTAAATGCGATGGTATCTCTCTGCAGCAAGACTCACTTCAGAAACATGGCCCTTGGGACCACGAGATGCAGTTTTGGTTCGCTGAGTCCGTGTGACCAGTGCTTTCCCAATGTGCCTTATGGGGAGCATAGCGGGTGCCAATCTTTCTTAAAAAATGGGTAAGCCACTTTCCTCTCAGCTCCTTTTGGCCACTTTTCATAAGTGCTTGTGCCAGCTAACCAGTATGGTGCTGTGGAGAGCGGCATCGGCAGTCACTCATAGTAGGGTGTCTGTTCTGTATTGGGACTTGGCCCACAGGCTTTGGTCCATGATGGCAAGAGAACCCCAGTCCTGTTCCATACTAGATACTGGAGAAGAGCTGTCCTAACACGCAGTTGCCGGTTTCAGACTGAAGCAGCAAGAGGGCCAGGCTCCCCAGCTTGGCAGGACATCCCCAGTATGAGTGAGCACTTGGGGAGGACCCCTCTCTCCAGGGGATCAGAAACCTGTTTCGTTTCTGCCATTAAGTTGCACTTGATGATGCTTGTCAGGAAGCAGCTGATTACTCACTAACCATGTATTTATTCTTCCACATTCATTGGTTCTCTAGCCCGGCTGTGCACTGGAATAGCACAAGGCATTATCTAAACAATACTGATGCCTGGACCCCACCCCATTCCAGTTAAACCATAATCTCTGGGGTCAGATCATAGAAAAAAAAACTATACACACACACAGACACACACACACACACATCTGTCCACAGTTGCTAGCACAGAGTTCCTGAAACCCTTGTAACTGAAACAGTAGGGAAGGGGGCAGGGCACAACCTTTAAAAGAATGACATAGCCCGAGGACACGACATAAACTGATTAGAACCAAACAGGTCCAAGATGGTGGATGAGTCGACTTCCACTAGACCTTGAGTCTCAGTAAACGCTCACTGTAACACATCAGCAAGCTAAATGACACACCCACAGGCGCCATGACAGTTCCGAGGCTGACCGTAAAGGTCAAAAAGTGGGCGGTGGCCCAATTCCTGGAAATCCCCGCCCCTTCTCCAAAATAGCTGGAATACTCCTCCCACTCATTAGCCCGTGAAATTACCCAGCCCTATCTAAAGACAGAGAACCCCATACCCTGGTGTTGCTCTTGCCTTCTGAGATGGCCCACACTCTGTGGAGTGTGTTTCTCTCTAAATAAATCCACTTCTTACCTATCACTTTGTCTCTCACTGAATTCTTTCTGCGATGAGACATCAAGAACCTGAGCTTCATTAAGTCCTGAGACCAGGTGTGCGACCTAAGTTAGAAGAATGTGGGTTCAAGTCCCAATCTGGATGGCATGGTTTCACAACTTCCTAAGTGTGAGACCCCCCCCGCCAGAAGCATCTCTTGCTCTCATATTCATCTCTGACCCCCGTCTCTGACACAGGGCTCCTAAAATCCTTGTAAATTCCTAAGTGACAAGAGGACTGGGCGCATCTTTTGTTCCACTGAGGCGACTCTGGGTGAGCTCCTGGATGGGGGCTGGTCACCAAAAAGATCAAGCTTGGAATTTTCAGCCCTAACCCCACATCCTCCAGAGAAGGGAGAGGGGCTAGAAATGGAGCTAATGTTCCATCGTGCCTAGTGACGAAGCGTCCGCAGAATCCCAGTAGCAGAGGGTTCAGACAGCTTCCCAGGGTGTGGGACAAACATCTGTATGGAGAGGGTGTCATGCCCCAACTCCACAGGGACAGAAGCTCCCGACCTTGGGACCTTCCCAGGCCTCACCCAACTTCCACGCTGGTTTCCCAGCCTCCGCTCTCGTCCCTTCCGACCCATTATCTTCACTGCGGCCAGAGTGAGCTTTCTAAACCGCAAATCTGAAAGCTGCCTCGCTGGTAAAACTCTTGGAAGTTCCCTATCATTCTGAAAATGAAGCGTCGATGCCACCCAGTGTTCCGCATGGCCCTTCACGACTTTGTCATTGTTTAGTCCTTGGGCGTCTTCTCTGAAAGCTTCCAGCCTCCACACCTAATTGACCTGTTTTCAGACCGTTAAGGCTTCTTACTGGCCGCATGTGGCTCTCGCCACAAGCCAGCCCGATGCTTTTTTCCTGGTTGGCTTCCACTCTTCCTCTTGCTCAGCTGGGCCACATTTCAGAGGAAGACTTTCCTCACGGTCTCCACCGCCTCCAATCTGGGTGAGAGGTCCTTCCCCTGATAGAGCCCTTTTATTTCAGCACTTGTCACACTCAGTTTTCTCACGCCCCTTGTCTCCTTACAAGACGATGAAGTCAAGGAGGCAGAACTGCCCGTGTTTATCGTCTTTGTGTCACTTAGCACCGAAGACCTAGTACGGATGGGTGGGTAGATGAATGAATGAATAATACTAATACTAAACAAA